GCTTTTACAGTATTTACTACTGTACTGAGCTTACTACTTGCTGAGATGAGTGAATGAACTTGGACAACACAAGTAAATGAAAAGAGTGAATAAGCTACTGAATTTGGTTGCAATATAAAACTAATTTCAATTGTGGTAATCAATATACATAAAATTACACTTATAACATTTTCACCATTCCGTGCCTACTCCGTACTGTACCATTCTACGCATTTGGGGACTCAGTGAACGGCTAGCATTAGCCTAGCTATTGATTAACTTTTGACCTTTAATTTCAAATCGGTTAGAAAATAATTATTTTACTAGTGGTGATCTTAAATTTGACAATGCAGCACAAACAATGATGATGTCATCAATCAAGGGAACCATGCTTATTGGTAGTGTATGTTGTAGGATGGCAAACCACTTCATTCTGCCAATTGCACGTTCTACATGGATACGTGCATTAGCAATTTTTTTTTGTTTTAGCCACTTCAGCTGGAGTGTGCTGTTCTTTTCCTTTACTTGGTGGAGGAATTTCTAAACTTGCGTACCTAAGCAACAGATCTTCTTTGATAGTAAAACCTCTGTCAGCCAGAATTACATCCCCAGGATCCACTAAATTAAGAAAGCCTGATTCTCTTGTAATATGCACATCGGAAGTTCTACCTCCCCATGCTTTTGACAAAAAAGAAATCATCCCATTCGTTGCAATTGCAACTAGAAATTTGACTGTGTTGTGTTTTTTATAATCAGACCAAGTAGCTGCCTGATTCAATAAATTCCTTGGTCGTTCGATGAAAACTTCTGTACAGTCTAATGTACATCGAAGATTTCTGTACTTATATTTAAGTGACTTTGGAATGGTAGACATAACTGATTGTTTATCGGGCCAAAATATGAGGTTTCCTAATTCCTTAGCTAAAAATTTTATCCATGTATTGAATATACGTGAAGCAGTCCCTGCTGACACATTAAATAGACCTCCAAGAAACGTAAGGGTTAGTGCCAACCTTATTTTTAGCAATACTAAAATAAATTCATCTTTCGTATTCAGAACTCTGCATGGTCCTCGTTTTTTGGGTGTCACGTCTGTTTTCACCCTTGCACCACGCCAGTAAGACATTTTTTTCACTTTTGGCTGTAAATGTGAGTGCAAACACTCAAACTTAGCTTTACTCTCAATTCCAGTATATTGTTTTACTGTCTATCAGACTTTAGTACAACCTTAGCCATATCAAAATGTTTTCTATGGATTTTGTTTGCTTTATTTGTAAGTTTTTTAACCTTTGATTGCAGTTCTTCAATAACAAGTTCCTTCTCTGAACAGCTTAAACAGGAAGTTTGAGCAGTAGCATATGTCTGCTGCATGTAGTCATGATCCTGGAGGCAAAATGTACTCGCACTAGATTCAATTGGAATTTCAACTTCTACAGTTTGTTGCCTATCAATGGGTTCCTCTTCAACACATCCTGTTGTATTAATAATACTGCTAGCTAGTTCTTTCTTTCTTTTTTTCACCTTTCCCATCACCTCTGAATATGGCGGTCTCACTTTAGGAGGGTTCCTTGGGCGCTTTGTAGCATGATCATAACCCATATTTTCAGTTGGATCAGGCCAGGCGGCAGTTGGCTCCCCATTTTTGAAATGAACAGAACATACTCTGTCTTGGTAAGAGGCTGTCCAATTTTTACCGGATTTTGTCTTTCTGTTAACAAGTTTATTCCACCGGTTACGCCCTTCTGGATTTTTTTTTTCTGAAGGAAATGGAAACAGTATAAATGGAGGCTTGCAAACACAACCTCCCAATCTCACACCATGTATTTTGCACAAACCTGCATACCAATCATCCAACTTGAATGTACTGTTGGAACATCCACATATGGCACACATTCTTCCCATAATTTCAATCAAGTAACTCAGCTGTATTTTTTCTGTACCTAAATTAATATTCAAAAAGAAAAAAAAAATTACAGTACTATACTAGAAATTTTTTTTTACTCAAACAAAAAAGTAATCCATTTTTTATCAAACAGACATGAGCTGCATTTGTCGTACTGTACTAACTATAAGAAACGAAGAATTCGATCAGAGATGGCCCTAAATCTCACATTGTCAGCAGACTCTGCCTATGTATGCCTAGAAAATTATTGGCTAGGCCTACTAGCCTAGGCCTAGCCTTCCTTTTTACTTCGGCCTAGCAAATCATCATTGTTTCAGGTTGTGGTTCGATCCTCTGTAGAATCAGGGCTAGGCTGTATACATACTTACGAATAACAATTTAAAATAATAAATGTTATGCTAACAGTATGTCTAATTTTCATGCCACTATTCGAATCTAAAAACCGACCATAATCTCCGCCGCCGATCACCACACAACACGAACGGACATCGTCCGTAGGCCTAGGCCAAATTTTCGCCATCAAATTTGACGTAATTTTAATTAAAAATCGGAGTACAATTTCCTACAATCAAAATATCATGAATTTATATTACCTACATCAGAATAACAACACCACTTGATAAGTTTAAAGTATATTATTATCACGATTCGTTGCGTTATTATTTCGTATTGTTGTGTGTAGCAAGCAGCTATGAAAGGTTGAAACTCGCCGATTGTATCACAAATAACCTTTCCCGGAAGGTCAAGCGATGATTTCACACATGCGCATAACGTAACTATGAACTGGCTTATACTCACTTTGTAGACAAGCAGGAATGGAATGTGGCTACCAAGTATCATAAATGTGACCACCCTGAACAGACAGAGGAACGTACAGTAAAACAGCATGGTTTAAACCTGGGTCTGCTTCACATAAAGCAGTTCAGGGTATTGTCACTAATAAGCTACTCCTCCGAGACATGGAAAAGGTAATTTTTAAAATGATATTTCATTTTTTTGTTTTGTTATTGTTACCATTGAGGTACAAGGAAAATTATCAATGACCCTGAGATTTCAAGTTGCCAAGTTATTCTACATTCCTTGTTTTGACCTTCAGATCACAGAATTTTGTCACAACGTCCTTCTAAAAAATGTTCCAAAAAGAATTGCTTTTCTTTACGAAGGTACAGTTGCCAAGACACTTTTAGCAGCATTGGATAACAACTCAAATGTAGGCCGCAAACAGGCAACCACTATTAGTGGCGAAAAAAGGTGGAAACTACAGTGGTCCAAAGCAAGCCATCAATTTGTAGTTAAAAAAATCAATGATCCAAAGGAATTTACATTTCGGACAGACCCGTTGAATGCTACTTTGGACATGCATAAAAGTGGTAAGTTGCAGTGGCCAAGTATTGCCTCAATAAAAATGTAACATTCAATTTTGAAAATCTATGTGAATATAAACAGGTAGCTAAAATTGATTTTAATATTTTACATAATTCTATAAGCATACATGGAAAGTCGGAATCCTGTTTATTGACGGCAGATTCCTTATTAAAATGTACAGTATTACTTTTAAGCTGATAACTGACAAATAAGGTGCTTTAAATACGAAATTAAATTAAATTATTTAACCTATGACAGAGAGTGCATCGCTTGAAAATAGTTTGGCAGGGTAGTAACCACTTTGTATTAATCAGTTATTGTTGAAATATGCGTTTATTTATATAATAGGCACAAACCGATACTGTTAATAGCATATGACAAACTCAGAGAATGTATAACCTATTCCTGTGAGATATATCGGTGTAATAAAATAATTATTGTTTGATATTTACTATCTGAAACCTAAATCACATAACACCAAATTCAATAATGTTTCATCTGGCCTTGTCCCAAAATCCGAAAGCAATTATGCTGATTGGCAAGTGTTTAGTTTGGGGTTTGTTTTTGAGCAAGGATGTATGGCTGTCTTGTGTCAAACTAGAGAATGTATTTGTTTCTGGCATGGAGGTACAATACATTTTGTAGATACAGTACAGTAGGGTCTGTGGTTTTACCTTCGTTAAATTAGTATCCAGTTAATTAAGAAAATGAAAATATGAAAATATGCAATATAAAAATTGACTTGAGAACTATTTCGCTGCTGATATAAATACCTACAATTGGCTATGGGCAATTCCATAAAATGGAAACTATTTTGTAAAAATTTAATACGCGTCAAATGTGTGTATTATTAGTATAATTTCAAAGGTTATATAATGTAGTATCATAAAAAAAATTTAAAAAAATATATTAATATTCTGCGATTTGAAATATAATTACATTTAAACATGATAATATAAATTGTTTAATATTTACCAATAAATTTAATCAAGGCTTAATATATGAATTTCCTACATTAAAATAATATTATTTTATTTTTTTTTAATATACAATATAAAAATAGATATATATTCCTATATATGAAAAAAAAATTTGTTTCTTATTAATTATATATTTTTTTAATTTATTTTATGTGAATTAATATATTTTGTACGTCCGACACAAAAATATTACATTATTTTATGTCCACTCTAAACCAAATACAAAGGAATTTCCAAATTTATGTTTTAAAGGTAATTGAGTATATTAAGTACATATATTATAATTGTGCTTTCTAATTCATTATACTAATTAAGAAAACCTGGTGTCGGACGTACATTTTATACGTACGTCCGACACACAATAGTACTGTATTCATAATACACAAAAAATGGTCAGATATTTGACAACTAAACCTAGACCCTGTCTCTTATACACATCTAGATGTGTATAAGAGACAGGCACATTATATGCTTATGTCATTACGAGAGGCATATGATGCGTACTGTTCAGATAATGGGAAGGTACTAGGCTTCAGCAAGTTCTGTGAGCTCAGGCCAAAATACATAAAGCTGTTTGACAAGATACCGCATAACGTATGTGTTAAAGATGGAGATCAGTTTGAGTTGACCTTTCTCAGGTTTGTTCATTACACAGTATTGCGTTTAACAATTGTAAAAATAACTATATATAATTGCAATATATATGTAATAATAATATTAATAATAATAATGAAAGTTATAGTAATATTATTAGTATTATAGTAGCACTACTATAATAATAATGATTTCGTTTGTCACAGTGCTTTACCAGGAAGCTCAAAGAAATTGCAGAAGTTCTGTGAAATTGCGGACAAGGGTGTCTGTATATTATGTGCGACGAACAATACAATACCGACGATATCCTTGAGAAGGTACAATTAATAAGGGGTTGATACTACAGTAGTATGTATCCCTCACAGTAAACATTAGTTAATCCATCCTATTTTATTTATGAGAATCATACCTACAACTAGTGTCGGGTCTAGGATTTCTTGTTAACGTGGGTGTTTTAAATGCATACTGTAGTCTACAGTATTTGATGTTCACTTTTATCTCTATTAATTTGCAGGAGTCAGTGGATCAGGGCCACCCCAAAAGATCACGGCAATTGGAACAAGTTGGAGTTATGATTATTACTTACGTATCCTTGATTAGTGTATAGATATACCCGTTCTTTTATTTGCCACTCTTATTTTACTCATTAGAGAAAATGATTGGTTTGTAAGGCTCTAAATACCAGAGAGGGGTGGGGGTGAATGGCACACAGTGGCTGGCTCCTCATTTAGTTATGCGTACACAATTTTTATTTCAGTCTGATTCAAGTGATGATGATTTGCCAGAAGTCATTATATCTGCTACCTCTACTTTGAACTCTGGTAGTTTAAACTCAACTGGAATCCCAACAGCAGTTGGCACCCCATCTACCCGTGTATCTAGATCCTTTGGTATCTCCGACTCAGTTATAGTTCCTTAGGATGAAAGGTGACCCTAATTTTTATAACTTATTCTTAAAGCACATGAGTTGTAGATATGATTTTATGCATCAAAATGGCTGATCAGACATTGTGACGTCATCACATTGCCATCTGAAATAAAAAAAACTGAATCGTTTTCTATGACGTCATTTGTTAAAATACTCATTTGAGCTCATCTCACTTATTTTTAACCTACGGTTACTGAATGTTTTCATAAGAAAATAGAATATGTACAATATTTAATGGCGTATTTCTCTTTTAAGGTTTCCTTTGGAAATAATAACAGAATTGGGTGCCTCACTTTATGTTCCAGAAGACGTTCCATTCGATTCTTCTCTACAGTTACCAGCCAAAATACAATACATTCTCTCAGATGAAGTACTCCAGAAGATTACAATCATCTAGTTACAGAAAATAACAAAATGAAATGAAATGAGACTTGTTTTCAATGTTTCATTAAATATATCCGAAATCACAATCGTACTAGCACTTATTTTTTGTGATGGTTTTTAGTGGTGATCGTCATTATAACACTTACAATTATCAACAAACCAACCATAAACGTAATGTGCGATATAAGATCAGTAACAATACACACTATTTTTCATATAATTCATAGTACATTAAAATAAAGGGACTGCAACATGGCACCAGCCATAGTATAGTTTTCCTCGACCTGGATAGTGATACATTGGCCTGCCAAGTTGATATTTTCCATTTTTGCTACAATTACTAGTTTATCAGTGCAGTGCTTTGATTTTGCAATTGGTGATGTCTGGTACATGCACACCTGCCCTACTATTAGGGACTTTACGCAACAGGACGGGAAGACGGGTGGACGGTGGTTTTGGTTTTGTGCTCACCGGAGCATGAAAACATAAACAGACGACAGTAAACAATTTGTCACTTGCGCATCGTCGACGACAACACAGAAGACATGATGGCCTCTTTATGCGAAGCAAGAGAGGCAATATTTTTTGCCTATGATGGAGGTTTGATCGACGAAGAGGAGTTCATCTTACTATATGAATTTAATCAATCAAATAATTTAGATTTACCATATATTAATTATGATGCAATTGATTTAAATTTTTGTACTGAAGATGAATGCAAGGCGTATTTCAGGTAGGTATACCGGTACTGTGGTAGCAGTAGCCTAGCCTACGGCCTAGGCCAGGCTTAAAATAATCATAACTCCATGGCCTAGCTAGGGCTACAGTAGAACCCCTATTATTATTAAGGGGACAACTTTGTTGAGACCTGAAGAAGTTTCCACTTAAAAGGGGTGTCCTCTGAATAGTGGTTGGATATAGTGTTAAAAAGTTACACTACAGTTATGAATAATAATCAAAATATTATCCTACTGACTATGGGACAGTGGGTTAATTTAGTAGGCCTATTTTGTTTATAATATCCTTCTTATCCAACAACAATAACTCGCCAATTAAAGGATGGAATAATGTTTTTATGTACCAAAACCTTGTACCATGTACGTTAAAATAACATAATTATATTTAGCTTAATAATTAATTTTTTTTAAAGTGTAAATTGTTGAATAAGTTATGCTTAGGTAATGGTGTAAATTACACTTTTACTTAATATACTGTGTATACAGTATATGTGTCTTGAATTTTCATTTTTCTCATTTCAGATTAAAAGATAATGACATTTCCCAGTTGATAGATGCACTTCAAATACCAGAAGTAATCAGGTGCCCAAACAGACTAAAAGTCGATGGTGTTGAAGCCCTGTGTATAATGCTGAAGAGATTCGCATACCCATGCAGATATGCAGATATGATAGCCAATTTTGGAAGGCCAATACCGCAGTTATGTATGATTTCTAACTATATGATCAACCATGTGTTTGACTGTTACAAACATATGTTTAACACATTTGGTCAGATATGGCTCTCTCGAGACAACTTGCAAATAATTGCAAACACCATCCACAACAAATTGTTTTGGTTTTGTTGATGGAACCGTTCACCCATTTGTAGACCTTCTGAGCATCAAAGAGTGGTATACAATGGACATAAGCGGGTACACAGCATAAAATTTCAATCAGTTGTCGCACCCAATGGCCTAATCATTAATTTATTTGGACCAGTGGAAGGCAGGCGGCATGACTCATACATGCTGCAGGAATCTGAGTTACCGTCTGAATTGGAACGATACGCATATGATCCGTATGGAAGTCCTTTATGCATTTATGGGGATCCTGCCTACCCTTTGAGGGCCCAACTGCAAGCACCGTCCAAAGGAAACAATATCCCCCCTTTACAAGAAGACTACAACAAATCAATGAGTAAAGTTTGGACATCAGTGGAGTGGCTATTTGGGGATGTTGTCAACTACTGGAAATTTGTAGATTTCAAAAAAATCCAGAAAATTGGACTTAGTGCAATTGGAAAAATGTACACCGTATGTGGTCTTCTAACAAATGCACATACCTGCCTTTATGGTAACATAACATCACAATATTTCGAGCTAAATCCTCCAGATTTGCATCAATACTTCCAATAATTTATTATGCAAGACACTATTTAAAAATGTTACAGCATTAAACTATTTAAATACTTGTATAGTGCCTCGAGTATGC